CTTACAGTTGACCCAGAATTTGAGTCCGAGAAGATCTTTAAATGTGGACTCGTTGTCTTAAAAAGTAAAAAAAAAGATTAAAGCTGAAGTTAACAAAGACGATCTATGTTGACGCGTCAGTGTTAGCACTGTGAAAACTGCTCATGTGCTAGTTTTATTGCACGAAGTGTATAAGTGTATCAATTCACCATGGTCAGTTTGTCCCAGTTTGATGCCAACGATTTTGTATTCACCAAGAACTCGTGAGGGTGCCACGCGATTGTTATACAACTTAATATTTATGCACAACCACATTAAAAAAGACCTTGGAGGTAATTTTGTATCCGAGGTAATGACATGCAGATATTCTCCCACAGATGCCTTACTAGAAGGCCTAATTACCTGATCAAGTGGTAGATTATAATGTGTTGGTTCTTTTAAATATTAATCCGATATGTAATAGCAAATACATCGACGGACCATTCCGCGTCAGTAGCATGACCTTGTCCACCTTCTAACACACCTGGTGCATACAGATACCGAAGGAATTTGTGTCAAAGTGAGTCTATTGGCGGTGGTTTATAAATCAATTTGTATGTAATAGTCACAGCATTCTGTTGAACCGCTTCGGCGTGTTTTGAATGAATTACTTAGTTCCTGTTTGACTAGTGGAAGTCGTGATACTTGTCTGCGGAACCTCGCTTCACGATTCGTTAACAGTTTTTCGTATACAAATGTCCCAATGATTGTTCCGCAAGTGAACGGTTTATTCGTTGGACAATAGCCTATTAATGATGCATGTTAACATTTCCAACACATTTTAACCGCATAGCAACAGATCAGTGAAATCATTTGCGTTAGTCCATTTGCATCAACAGTGACCATGTTAGCGGTCCGGGTGAGTAAATAAGTTCTACAACAAATTTTCAGAAGTCAACAGCACATCATTCTTTTATCTAGATCGAACGTATATGATTGAGCGTACTTGTACATTCCTCCCCGAACGAGATCATGTGGAAGAAACAAAAGATAGCCTGCTGAACTTTGTTGGGTGTTCTGACATTGAACCATCAACATGAAATTTTTTGTCTTGGTGTGGAATGTATATTTACCACAACACGCATTTAGCCAGCCATACCAGAGCATTCCCATGCGGTGCCTGGGAACTTTTCAACATAACATTCACATTTCTAGTAGCAGTGAGGACTGTGGTACAGTTTGCATACAATTCGCTTAGAAACTACACTCCTTTAAGTAAGATTGTTTGTTTACTTGCTTGTTTATTATTTACGTATAGTTTTCCTCCCTTGATTGAATTTTGTCTAGTGAAGTGGAACCTTCCAGATCAATCTTTGCTGTTGATGATCTTTCTAGAGATTCTTTCATTGAATGTAGGTGGGGAGGAAGAACTACCCGAGATTGCATTCAAATTATGGTTGAGATCTATATCGGCAAGGATATCGTAACTCGATGTACGAGTTCTTCTGCAGGCTTCTGTTGATTGTTATATATCTTCAGTCGAGAACGAGGCCAAAAGTAATTGTATCAAGGTCCCAAAGGTAGCCAACAATGTTTTTCACTAGCGCATTTGCTCAGTAGTGTTCCATGTGGCTTTATTAATGCATCAGCAATATAACCGCAGACAATGGCCAAACCCCCCGACTGAGCTAAAATTATTTGCTCCGCAGTTTTAACTCGAGTTGGATTTGTACATACGTGTTTCTACGCAGCACTGGATACAGTATGAAATGATTATTATATTGTACAACTGTGTGACATTCAAAAGGACATTCCGAAAAAAGAAAAAAAAAACAAACTGAAAAACGAAACTTTGAAAAGCTCTTCTTTTACTATCATTAACCATGAATCATAACAGTATATATTACCACATATACGTGGACGTATAATATCTTTTAAAGGTTCAGATTTTAAGAATTTAATATATTTTAAGAAATATTGCAAAAGAGAATGCTAAAATCTTTGATATATGTTATCCGCAACAATTGTGATAAAAGTAGCTGCATCGAGAGTGAAGAGGTCATTTTAGAGCAGTCCATTTCTGAAAGTAAACTTTACTACGAAAATGAAAATACAAGCGTCAAAAACGCTTAAGTATGGGAGGGTGAACACATTTTTATAAATAAGCCTTCATACGAAAATGAAAATACAAGCGTCAAAAACGCTTAAGTATGGGAGGGTGAACACATTTTTAAAAATAAGCCTTCATACGAAAATGAAAATACAAGTGTCAATAACGCTAAAGTAGGGGATTGGTGAACAAACCATTTCTAGGAGGATTGTTTGTGAAAATAAAGATTCCTACTAAAATGAAAATACAAGCGTCAATAACGCTAAAACGAGACCTTTCCATGGCTATTTTCGTACGCGCCAAATTTATTTACCGACCAATGGTATAAGACATCTCTTGGTCGTCACCATCTCAGCTGCGACTCGATTTGGTGGCAATTCTCTCAACCAAACATTCTATCGAAACCCATGCGATATCGAGACTAAAGATCATGCAAATTGATTGTGGTAAATCCATGATGAATCGCTTGCGCTTTTGAGAAATTTTTATCTTAATCATATCCATGTTCCCTGGACACCAAATCTGGTGGATGTTTCTTAGCTTGTGGATATTAACACCATTAAAAACAACCAGAAGACTGCAGCTATCTCTGATCACATTTGGTATTTGCACATATCGATGAGTAACATATATAGTATCGATGTTTTTGTGTCTGCCTTGGGAAATATCCGAGCTGGATTTGATTGTTTGTCTAGCATAAAATCATCTGTCATCGCCACGTCGTTGATGTCGGTGTTAAATCAATAATATCATTGCCGTCCTCTTTCAATAAATTTGCATTTTTATTAAAATCTTTAAGTACTTCGTAGCATTGTTGATCTTCTACAGATGGTATCACTAAATACAATTTATCCGACTTGAGCCATATCATTATCAGGTTAAACAACATTGCGTATCGCCAGACCCAGATGGACCTATGATAATTGCTCTGATAGAAATTGGTAGCGCTGCATGATGCTTGATTGGTTTTTTTGTTTTCGTGTCGCTGAGAAATCAATGGCATTCGTGTTGTAGGAATATATAATAATTATATGGATTTATAATTTTTTCTATGCAGAGCACACACCCCACCAGTGGATTAAAAATAATATCGACGAGGACTAAAAAGCATCCACTTACTGACAAGTGCGTGAAATGTGGTACAAAAAATACAAATTTATCTCACTTGCAACAAGCGTAGATATCGCTGCTTCACTCAGACAATTACCAGGGGCTCCATGAGCTAAATATCCTGGCGAGAAACATCCATTGGAGCCCAACAACATTTATTCAAATAACAGCCAAACCAAACAGCAACAACCGGATAAAGGTTTTCCGATGGAAACTCGAACGACTTAATACATGCAAATCCAGTTAAGTCAAAATCTTGCAATGGTCCATTTATCCCAATTCGTCTCATCTCATGTGTTGGATGACCAAATCTTTTAAAAGACTCAAAACACCCTAACATTCCAAGAAGCCAGGATAGCGTGCAACCATATCAACTGAGATAAATGCTTGTAATAGTATTTAACATTCTACTATCCGCTGTGTCCGTATTCGACACAACTACGTTGTATATCTTCAAAAAATTCCAGCCGTGTTCTCCTGATCAAGGTGAGCAGCAATCGACGAAACGGTGAAGCAATTGCTGAGTGGACTACAAATGGACAAACTAGTAACTTCTGGGCTAAAGTTCAATGTCCTACTGCAGTTGCAATTTGCGATTTAATTTGCGAGGTCCACTATGTTCTAGTGTTGGACGAATTTATTAGTGGTGGTAGGAAGAATTTAATGACATTACAACTTGAACAATGTTGTACAGCACAAATAACACTTAAATTAGTCCAACGGCGTACTTTACACTTGCAACGGCAAATAATGTAACCAAGAATACTTGTTTCTGAACATGCGTTACAAATATATACCGTTGACGATCAGTATGGCAGCGATAATAATTAACACTCATTCCCACCAAGAATAAAAGTCGCAAAAGAATTTTATAACAGTATTTTTAATTCAGTGACACTTCAATCAAGGATAACAGATCCAGCTGTGATTCCAGATTATCTAACTAATGAATTAAAAGAAGATATTAATATTATTAAAATGAGAAAGTTAAAGCTGGAATCACTAGATAAAATTTATTTTTAAAACATCGTCAATGGTGAAAAATAAACAGGAGCAGGAGCGTATAAGAACAGTACATGATGAATTTGACAAGCTGGCTGAATCAAAATAGGAAGTTTATCAAAACATACAAAGTTGGGAAACGCGTTCTTAAAACGTCGGATATTTCGCGAATTCGTGATAAGAAAACGTTGATTGAAATTGGAGATGAGATCACTGCTGTTGAACTAATACATAAACGTACATTAATGCAATCAGAGCACTACTATACGATGATATTAAACTTAATCTAGAGCTTATCAAAGCAATGATTAAATCTTAGACTGATGAAGAAAAAAATCGGTTTTTTTAAATAATTTCAATGATTTAGAAAGTTTTAACATATTTGCTGATTCTTATTTTGATATTGATGAAGATTATTAACAAGCAATTACTCCGATGAAGTTGAAAAATAACCATACGAACTTAAAATTTACTGATGCTAAAAGTCGCTAAATAAGTGAATAAATTACATTTTTTGAACATGTGGATGCTTAGTGTGTGTGTGTGTGTGTGTGTGTGTGTGTGTGTGTGTGTGTGTGTGTGTGTGTGTGATTTAGATTTTTAACGTAGCTTTAAAAAAAAATTTCAGGCATATCGCTACGATGTCTGCATAGTGACAGTTTATAATGATGTCTAGCACTGGGGCATCATGCCGCAGATATGTGGCATGACGTCACACCCAGTCACGTTATCCTGACACCAGGCCGACCATTCCTAACAATAACCTCTTAATGCTGAGCGCCAAGCGAGGCAGTTGTTAGTACCATTTTTGTCGTTGGTATGACTCGGCAACGGTTCAAACCCGCGACCTCCCGCGTGCGAGGCGGACGCTCAAACCACTAAGCCACTGGAGCGGTTGGATGCTCAGAGATTTAATGCTACGAAATTTTTTAGCAGCATATACAACTATTAGGCAACATTTTGCGCTTAGCAATTTTAGTGCAAGACATAAAAGTTCAGTAATCGAGTCTATTGATGAAACCGCAACTTTACGCGGAATTTGTAGCAGCATATACAACTATTATGCAACGTCTTGCGCTTAACAATTTTAGTGCAAAGTATAAAAATTCAACAATCGGGTCTATTGATGAAACAGAGCAACTTTATGAGGATCTAGTAGACAGCGTACCTGAAATAGCAAAAGAAAGTATATGTACAGTTGGTTAAGAAAAGAGGAAGCATTAACAGATACTTAGTCTAATGTTCGTGACAAAGTCAGAAATTTTGTGGCATATCCAAAAAACGATAGATTGTGAGTACTTCTTGATTCAGTTGTTGGTACAACAACTTTTACCATCACTTAAAAAAAAATAAAAATGAAAAAAAAAACACAAACAAATCAAAGACTTTAACTATGTGTCTGAAAGTATTCCAAAAAAGAACATGCTGCGTTAATGCAATATTATAAAGTATATTTAAAAAATCTCTGGTACGTAAAGCGATGTTACAAATACTACGGCAGAATCTACACATAATTGTATATGTTCCGGTTATTTTAACGAATTCAGGCATAATTCATAGTGGAGCTGCGTTAAACCCGTTCTTCTTGATAATATCTGGTAAAATAATGTTCAAGCTATGCTCGCCATTAAGCAGGACATTATTTGACTCATAAATTGAATATTAAATTGTTAGACATTTAAGATCCACTATATCTTGCATATTTGTACAATATAATTCATTTTACTTTAGATCTTTTTTAAGTAACCCCAATGTCAGAGGCATATTAGAGTAAAAGCCTACAGAATGAATTTTTTTAATGATATGACTAAGATAAACATATCTTACAGGTCCAAGCAGAAAGAAACCGACAAAGTCTGAAAAAGTACCAGGTTACCTGTCGTATTCTTTATGTCAAAAAGTGTGCGATGCGTATTCGGCATTACTCTACCACCGGAAAATTCACTACAAATTTTACATCATTCTTGCGATTTTACTGCCAAATATTTGACAGAAAATCGATTATCCACCTCTCAAGGGGATCATTCATGAGCCATCTCAATTGATTTTTGCTATAGATAGGACAAGTCGATCGGTAAATTAAATTATTGTTGTAAATGATACAAAACAATTATCTTGGGCCTTGCATTAATGGCCGACAACGAATAACAAAATTTAATTAACTTGAGAAGTCGGTTGCATGAATATCTCAAAGGGCCAATACATTCTGACGCTTATATAGTAGAATCTTGTCAGCACGTTACGTTTTTTTTTTTTTCGTTTTTTTTTTCTTTTGTTTTAACGGGGAGAATGCAGTTGTACTTCCAAGGTGTTGTGTCGTGGTATTAAAATATGCAAATAAAGCTTCAGAATATGGAAAATAAACGTGTAAGCTTATAATTCTCCACACACATACATGAGCCAGAACTTGAGATATTAGAATATCAGTATAATTAATTATCATACGCACACACACACACACACACAAGAACTTTAATACTTGATGGTCACTATAGTTGTATTGTTCTGCATACACATACATGAGCCAGAACTTGAGATATTAGAATATCAGTATAATTAATTATCATACGCACACACACACGCACACACACACAAGAACTTTAATACTTGATGGTCACTATAGTTGTATTGTTCTGCATACACATACATGAGCCGGAACTTAAATACTTGAAGGTCAGTATACACCATACACGTATATAAGCCGGAAGTGAAGTATTTTAAGGTCAAATACTCTTAGCCTAGTCCCCTGCTTAGTATCCTCCCTGCATTCCACTCCGCTATAGTAGTCACGGTACTAATTCAATTCCCATAGTAAACATATGGAAACACCATCATATTTAAGATTCAATAACCTAAAATTTCTGGGTACTAATGATCAGACCTATATTTCTCCATGCACAACTAACCTTGGTGCAAGCTTCTGTGTGGAGAACACCATATGAGCTGCGGCATTTTTTTACCTACATGTGCATGAAGCACATGTTATTGATTTTGCACCAAGCGAATCGTGCTACTTTCATTATTGAGTAATCCTAAGTCAAGTCTTTAAAAATACTAAAACTGCATCAATAGAAATTTGCCAATATTTTTTTTAAAATTACACATAGGATAAGCTTTCAAAATATATTTTGGCTAAAATTTTACTTTTCATTATTAACCAATTATGGACCACCAAACACGTATATACTCTATTATTTTTTCACCCATTTCTAGACTGGTTCACAGTTCTTCCATATAGTTAGTACCGTGTGTCCTATACTAGTGCAACGAAGGGAACATACTAAGTAGGGGACCAGACTAAAATACTCATATCATTCTCCACACACATAGTTGGCATCAGTACACAATTAATAAAATCCGGTTCAGTACCCACGAATGTAGTCCCAGTCTATTTTTATATCATTTTTTTCCTTTCTCCGTTTGGTGGTAATACAAGAGTTAGATTTTGGCATTCTTGGTAAGGATTTAAAGGCAATTGTCTATTCTTTAGAATGTGAGCTTATGGTGTGGTTGTCTGTGTGTATTTCGGCGACAGTGCACATTGAGTATTAAGGTCATGGTGATGATCCTGTAGTGAAATTTGTGTTCCGTTGCCTGGTGTTTTGTTTACAATTCAGCCTCTAAAAAAAAATGAAGGTCATCCCTTGACAAGAACTTCATCTTAAAGTCATCTTTGAAGGTATTTTAGATTAACATATGATTTGTATTGATTGTCACACAGTGGAAAGTTCAGTACTGAGAAACATATAGTAAAATTAATTGTGTTCTATGGCCAGTTGCGCTAGAAGATAATACTGGATGACCAATATTCGTGCATTTCACATTCTATATATATATATATATATATATATATATATATATATATATATATATATATATATATATATATATATATATATAGTACTATATATAATGCAGTAAAACAGAAAGGAGATTTTTGGCTATTTTATCTTTACTGAAGGATGAAACAGAAAGCTCTTTATGTTTAGGTTTATCTTTCTTTTTCAACCCTCATTATTTCAAAAGGTTTGAAGAATTCCTCATTTGTGAGAATATCACAATTTTTTCAGAGAAAAACAAAATAAGATTTTTAAATTAAGTACAATATGTTATTTATCGTTATTTCTTGTAGCATAAGACCTCTGTCATGGAAAGCTATTGTTGTCATGCAAGCGATAAAAAAAACAACACTTAAACCTATCATTTTAAGAAACAAAATCTGATATTTATTTGACAAAAGTTGGAATCTTAAAAGGATGAAATACATGTTATGCTGTTCTGTGTTCCATTAGCGCCTTAATATTTACAAAATAGTGCGTACATGTTTACAATTAGGTGTTAGAATCGGAATCGAGCTACTTGAAATTACATTTTCAAGCTTCCTGAGGGCAGATCCGTGTGAACCCTATTGATTTTTAAATTGCAATGGGCTAGAGATACGTAACGGAAATCGCTAAATTTCTGTCTTAAGCAACAGTAAGTAATTAAATTAAGTTTCACGGAGCGTCCGAAACGTCATCATCGAAAAATTGTAATATCACAGGATGCTACAAATTCGCGTAACTCAAGTGACATATATTACAAGATAGATGGTGATACAAGGTGCTGAGCTGGCTCTTTTCCAAAACATTTCAACAAATGACCAGATAATTCCATTTCCATGCATGTTCTGAGCTAAGCGAACAGTATCGTAAGCAAAGCGACATATTTATGCAATAAAAAAGAAGTGAAATAAACAACACAACTGACAGTTTACCATGATATAACTATCTCATCTTTTCAAAGTAAGTTACAACATGCTTTTGAATAAGACATTGAAGATATCTCATGGATTCCACCAACACACGTGGAATTAGCGGAAGTCCAATTTGATTGAACCTGGTTTCAAATGACCACAAGATAGCACCAAGAATCATACAAGATAATATAGTCAAACAGCTCTTAAAGATGAGTACGTGAGGTCCTAAAGATAATAGTATAGCACGGACAAATTTGTTGCAAAACCTAAATCTAAAACTGGCCGGTTTATTTCTGTAACGTTTTTATGCTTTATTACTGTGGGAAAATAGTATTAACTTTAGGTTACAGAAAGTCAAAGAGAGCTCGAAAGCAAGAATTATTTGATTAAAAAGATCGAACATTACAAACTTGCCAGAAAGAAACTTAAAATGGCTTAATATATTATTATTATTATTATTATTATTATTATTATTATTATTATTATTATTATTATTATTATTATTATTATTTTCATTATATTATTATTATTATTATTATTATTATTATTATTATTATTAACACCATCATCATCATCATCATCATCATCATCATCATCATCATTATTATTATTATTATTATTATTATTATTATTATTATTATTATTATTATTATTATTATTATTACTTCAACTGGGCAGAGGTAAACATAGCCATTGTTACACATGATGTGGATGTTGTAGCTGCTGTTTTAGGAGCTGAAGAAATAGCAAGTCTTTGTTATCGTATTGACATTAGAGAGTTTGGTGCAACTTTACTGTGGGTAGTGATATATAAATATATCAATGGAACGTTGTTATGTAAGAAATTACAAGTTACAAGACAGTAACTTGTGAATAAATAAGTTGAATAGTATTGATGATATGATAATTGAGGCAATAAGACAAAACTAAACAAAATCATGTCGAATGTTTCGTTGCTAAGGGTTACAACAAATGCAAGGTAAAAAATGTAGCAAAAAGAAAACAATGCTGAAGGTCTAGATACAGAAGGGTTTCAAGAGACTTTTAAAGAAGAGAAAGAAAAAAAGAAATAGCTGTCATAGAACCTTAGAGAAGAAATATAATTTTATAATTGTTAAAACAACGGATGAAACACGTCAAAATTACAGAAAAGCC